GGAAAAGAAAAAAGAAAATGTAAGTGCATGTCGAAAATACACTCGTATATGCGTAAAAACACAAGGTCGGCGGAAAAAAAATGGAAAATAAACTCATGAGCACGTAATAGCGTTAAAAAATTGTTTTTTTTGTTTTGTTTTTTTTAATAGAAATAAAAATATATAAGCATATTAAAATTGTTTTTTTTTATTAAAAAAAATAATATAAAATGTCGAGAAGTGCCTTACGTGCAATAGTCGTTTAAATGTTCTGGAAATCTCACCCTTCTTCCAGAACGCGTCGTTTTAAGTTTATTTTCGGATACTGTCGAAGTATCTTCGCGTGTGTTGGTTGTCGGATGAGGTATTATTAGTGTCTGAGTCGTGTCGTTCGATTGTACCGAAGGAAAATCGACGTGGATAGGATTTCCTTCTAAATACGCTGCTTTTAAGCGATCGATGCTGATGCTATCGTTGGTTCCGTTCTTATCGACTATATAGTACTTAGATTCACGTTGAAGAACTTTGAAGGGTCCTTCGTATGCTGATTCGAATGGTCGTCGATGCGAGTCTCGACGAATGAAAACGTGTGTACTATATGGTAAGTCAGGTTGAACGAAAACATCAGTTGATTGAGGTCGAGTGGAAGCAGGTTTAACTGAACGCATTGCGTTTGTAAGCCTGTTCGTGTAGGAGGTTAGATCCATGTTCATCGAAGAGCACGAAGGATCCACGAATTCTCCTGGAAGTCGAAGTGTCGTTCCATAAACGAGTTGAGCCGCAGTGTATCCAATGTCAGCTTTCACTGCATTGCGGATACCTAGTAAGACGAGTGGAAGAGCGTCGGTCCATTGTGAAACGTTTGCAGCTGATAGCGAAGCTTTCAGTTGTCGGTGAAAACGTTCTACCAACCCGTTTGCTTGGGGATGGTAGGCGGTCGTTCGGAAGCGAGTGATTCCTAAAAGTGTGGTCAGACGACGGAAAAGATCAGATTCAAACTGACGTCCGCGGTCTGTAGTGATGGTTGAAGGGCAACCGAAGTTTGCTACCCATCGTTCGACGAATGTGCGGGCCACTGTTTCAGCAGTGCTGTCCTTGATAGGTACTGCTTCTGGCCATCGAGTGAAACGGTCTACGCAGGTTAAGAGATAAGAGTATCCATTTGAATCTGGTAAAGGTCCTACCAAATCCAGATGAACATGGTCGAAACGAGCATCGGGAGTTTTAAACGAGCCTAAGGGACATTTATTGTGTCTGATAACCTTAGATTTTTGGCAGCTTACACAGGAGCGTGCCCACTCCCTCACGTCTTTATTCATGCCAGGCCAGCAAAATCGTTCTGCTATAAGCTTGATGGTTGCACGAACACCTGGATGAGAAAGTTTGTGCAATGTGTTGAAGACATTGCGTCGATAATGTTTCGGCACGATTGGGCGATCCCTACCTGTAGATGTGTCACAAAGTAAGGTTTCCTTACCTGTTCCCATCTGTTTGATGCGTAGTTTAAGTGTTGTGGACGATAACTCGTGCTGAAGATCACTGTCTTCTTTTTGAAGCTCGGCGAGTTTAAGAAGGTCGATTCCTTGGAAACTGTTCAAGGAAGTTATACGAGATAAAGCGTCTGCAACTACATTGTTTGCTCCAGAGATGTGTTGAATATCTGAAGTAAACTGCGAAATGTAGTCCAGTTGTCGAGACTCACGGGGAGAGTACTTGTCAGAAGGAGAGCTTAACGAGAAAGTGAGCGGTTTATGGTCCGTGAAAAGAGTGAATTCACGGCCTTCGATATAGTGTTGGAAATGCCGTACAGCACAATACATAGCTAGGAGTTCCCTACCGAATGTGCTGTACCTCGATTCGGTGTCTAGCAACCTTCTAGAGAAAAATGCCAAGGGTTGCCAGGAGTTGTTAACCCATTGTTGTAAGACTCCTCCGATTGCTGAGTCGGATGCGTCTACTGCGATGCTAATGGGTGCTCGGGTGTCCTGATGTGCGAGCATTGTTGCTTTAGCAATCAGTTCCTTGACTGTGGAGAATGCTTTTCGTGCGGTGTCGTCCAAATTAATGGATTTCGCATTTCCACGAAGTTGGTCGGTCAGAGGTTTCATAAGTGATGCGCATCTGGGTATGAAACGTCTATAGAAACTTACCAGGCCGTTGAACGTGCGTAATTGCTTGACGGTGGTCGGTTCTGGGTAATCCAGAATGGCCGCCACTTTGGTTCTAAGGGGTCGGATACCTTGAGCATCGATAGTGTGTCCCAGAAAGTCTAACGAGTCGGTTCCAAATTGGCATTTCTGAACGTTTACAGTTATGCCATGTTTTTGTAATCGTTCGAAAACAAGGTCCAGATGCTTGAGATGTGTTTCTCTGTCCGGACTTGCGATTAGACAGTCGTCAACATACGCGTGTACGAAGTTGAGACCTCGAAAAACGTCGTCTATGAATCTTTGGAATGTTTGAGCAGCATTCCTTAGACCGAAAGGCATTCGCAAAAATTCATAGAGTCCGAAGGGAGTTATGATAGCCGTTTTCGGTATGTCGTCAGTAGCCATAGGGATTTGGTTATACGCTTTAACCAAGTCGATTTTCGAAAAGACAGTTGTACCTTTCAAGGTAGCTGTCAAATCGTGAATGTGAGGCAACGGGTAACGATCGGGAATGGTTTTCGCGTTCAATCGCCGATAGTCACCAGTTGGACGCCAATCGTTGCTGTCCTTTTTAGGGACCATGTGCAACGGAGATGCATATGGGCTACTTGACGGTCGTATGATTCCTAAGTCCATCATGTGATCGAATTCGTTTTTCGCTAACCTTAGCTTTTCAGGAGCTAGTCGTCGTGCTTTAGAAAATACAGGTGGTCCTGTAGTCGTGATGTGATGTGTAACATTGCTGGTTACACACGGTAGTTTCGTTTGCGTTTGTTGTATCCCAGGGTACTTATCGAGTAGTGGTTGATAGAGTGGGTCTATCATATGTTTAACTGTGACTGGGGATACTCTACAACCAGTAAAAGAAGTTACGCAAACGGACAAATTAGTGTTTCCGTCTACTAGCCTCCGTTTGCGAGTGTCGATGATCAGATTGTGGTGTTGTAGAAGGTCCATACCAATGATTGGCATAGAAACATCTGCAACGACGAAAATCCAGTGGATGGGTTTGCGTAAACCCACGTTAAGGTAAACGTACCTTTTGCCATACGTAGCGATCGGTTTTCCGTTTGCCGCCTGTAAGTTTAGGGTCGATTCGTGAAGTCGGTCGTTAGGATTTGCTGGGAGAACGCTAACTTCTGCGCCAGTGTCGACGAGGTAGCGAACTCTCGTTGTCACATCTGTGACGAATAACAGACGGCTTTGTTCGCCGGCTACGGTTGCCGTTAACGCGTGCCGGCTTGGAAGTTTCCCGAATCAGTCGGTTTCGTGTTGGGAAAATTGCAGGGTTTTCTGCAATTTCTGGAAAACTTTCCATACTGGTTATGATACCAGCACCAGTCGGGGTTATCTGTCTCTCGTGGTCTAGAGACAGATCGCTTACGAGAAATGCTTCTACGTGGTGTGCGCGATCTCTTACGGTCGGTACGAAGACTAAGATAACGCGTGAGTGTGTGACATAAGTCGGTTATGTCATTCTGAGTCGTGTGAGGCTTTTCTTTGACTGAAAATACCTCGGTAGTAGAAGGTTTCGTAATTTCTAGAATGCGGTCGGCAGATACAGCTAGTTCGTCTAAGGCGTTGTTCTGGAACGAGACCAGAACTGCTTGCACCTGTTGGGGAAGTTTTGACAAGAAGAGTTGTTTGAATAGACCTTCGTCGAAAGTTCTTGGGCCTATAACCTCTCTCATCCGTTGCAACATGTCCGTCGCAGAACCGTGTTGCAGGTCGATATTGTTGAAGAGTTGATCTAACCTTTGTCGATCGGTTAGGTCTCCTCGTTTAAGAATCGAGCGTTTTAAGATTTCGTAAGGATCGGAAACATCACTAGTAAACATACTAGGTGTTACGTACCTGTTGAATTCCCGCGGCAGTGCCTTGACTACTGCGAGGAATTGTGCACGTGTGTCGATCACGCCGTGCTCGGAAAAGTCGGCTTCTGCGTAGCAAAACCAGGCTTCGATGTTGTCGGGCCAGAAAGGCATCAGTTGAAACGAAGGTGGGGACAAGGTCTTAAGCTTGAGTACTTTAGGTGTCTGTTCAGTCATGATGAAATATGAAGTACGATAATGAACGAGGGGAAAATATATATATATATCCAAGAAAAACACGAAAAAAAATCACAATGTTTAAAAAAAATAAAAAATAAGGCAATGATATATAAAAATCCCAAAAAGGAACAGACTCACAGTTGCAATAAGGTGTACCAGATCACGACGGTCTCACCAATGATGATGTCACAGGTATTCAGTGTTTGACAACGCTTCTACCAGTAACACCTTCTAATATGTTTCGTTCCCACCAAGAGAAATCAAAAGACAGAGTCGAGGAGATCGGAAGAGTATATTTGGCGATGACCAATATACCGGGATTCTCTGATCTAATCTGGCTAGCGATTGTGGTTGATGTTGAGCACGGCGTTACTACACGTGATCTGGTGCGGATGCCTGACCGAGCGCCTTCAGCTAGATGAGTCCACTAAAACATATGGTCAGCATCCAATGTCGAAAACTTACAGAGCTATTTATTTTAGGGATTTATTTACCGCTACAACACTATGATTTACCAATTTCTTTTCCTCTTTTATTGTTAACATACCTAGGTTCCTGCCTGGAGGATTTGGTGATCCCCTGCTACCAGACACGGAAGCCTGTTAAGCGAAAGCTACTTCTATTCCGTCCACAACCATTTGAACCATTTGAATTGATGTTCTTGGGAGAGCCAGTTTACTATTGGTCTCATTACTGTCGCACTTGTCTTTCTTTGAGAATAAAACCGATTCTAAGAAAGAGATGTCTGGTCTATATGTCTTATATAACTACTGTATGAATAGCTCGATCTCTGTTTTTGCTCGATATTGGACACAATTAATAGCATTGTTAGCTTTGCGTACTTCTGCACGCGGTTAGTTTGATTTTGGCGTGGAGGTAGGTTCTATGTCCTTGTAAGTTACTGAATGCTCTAGATGGGTAGGGTTATTCGTAGCCAGCGTAAGGGTGCCGGAGGTGTTTTCAAAGCGCATACCAAACATCGTAAAGGAGCTGCTAAGTTGCGTCCAAATGATTTCGCTGAACGACATGGTTATATTCGCGGTGTCGTTAAAGAAATAATTCATGATCCGGGTCGTGGCGCTCCGTTAGCCAAAGTGTCCTTCAGAGATGTATATTCATACAAGTTGATCAAGCAGACATTTATCGCGGCGGAAGGCTTGCATACTGGACAGTTCGTGTACTGTGGTAGAAAAGCCAAACTTCAGGTAGGGTTGTTGTATTTTACTATTGACATCAGATTGGCAACATCCTCCCAATAGGTGCAATGCCTGAAGGAACCGTGGTTTGCAATCTGGAGGAGAAGTGTGGTGATCGTGGGAGGTTAGCTCGTGCAAGTGGGAATTATGCAACTGTTGTCGCTCACAATCTCGACACTAAACGAACTCGTGTCAAACTACCATCAGGTGCAAAAAAAGTTTTGCCATCGACTTGCCGTGCCATGGTTGGTCTCGTTGCTGGCGGTGGTCGGGTAGACAAGCCTATTTTAAAAGCAGGTCGAGCCTATCATAAGTATAAAGCTAAAAGGCATTGTTGGCCCACAGTCAGAGGTGTTGCCATGAACGTAAGTTTCTTTTGTAATATCGCAACCTTGATAATTGTGTTAATACTCAAAACATCCTCAGGTCCTGCTCCTGGATTTTGTGACGCTACGTTGACGTCAGATTTCAAGTCCGGGCAATTAAGATTGACATGCTTAAAGTACGGTCGCCATAAATGTCAATCCTCGCTTGGTTAGCTTTTTCCACAACTTTGTTTAACAGTAGAAACTGAGCGTCTATATTGTGCCTCTAATTAGTGCATGCCGATGAATTATTCTTTTTGATAAACTTCAAGTGAACAAACTCGGACAATAGTCAACAATCATAATATCTACGTATAATTATCCCACTTTGGTCTTCTATATATTTGAATTTCTGACCCCAAATCTTTCTTATCATCACTGATACTGTCACTACCTCCAATAGTCTGAGGTTGGGCCTAACATTTCTACGTGAGTGACTGAGCTATCCTACGTAAATTAAGAATACAACCCCTGACATTTCATCATCCAAGGAGCAGTTTTCTGTAATCGCATTGGGGACATTAGTAAATCTCAAGATTTGTTTGCGAAAAGCTTGCAAGATCTAAGTCTCCATTAACTTCGAGTAACTGAGTTCCGAAGTTTTAGGTAGCCTATTGTAAGTAATATTGTTTAAAGTCTCAACGAACGCAGAACCTTTAACATGGTCATGAACAGTTAATAACTGCTGATACATCGTTGTTAATCACGTTACTTCATAAAATATCTCACTAGTTTTACTGCAGACGTTTTCATTTCTTTTTTATAAAAAGCGTGATCTAAGATTCTGCCGTCAACATAATGTGAAGATATGGCCGCAGCAAGTAGCTAGCATACTAGTTATGTACAAAAAATTTGAAGTGTAACAAGTAGGGGTTAAAATGTTACTAAAATATCCCAGTTAGCTCAGCCTTCATTTTCGAAATGCTCGACATCTAGCTGACTGATACGTGAATAGTACTAACGTACTGTCATGCTCAACTTGTCATACGCGAATCTAACGTGTTACAATACAATGATATACTATATTTACAACTATTGGAAGGCAGTTTTTAAGTGACACACAATCATCGGTTAGGTGAAGGTGTTAAATATATTGGCAATTTGATCATACTTAATTTTGCTATGAATCTTCCAAGTGTACTTCCACGTGTTTAACATTTTCATAATGTCAGTTCGTTATACAAGTATGTCAAATATCTGCACTTTCTTACTGTTGACAGCCTGTCGAGCATCCTCACGGTGGTGGTAATCATCAACATATAGGTAAACCATCTACGATTCGCCGTGATGCATCACATGGTCGCAAGGTTGGTCTAATAGCTGCTAGACGAACTGGACGTATTCGTGGTACCCGCACAATTACTTCAAAATCCGACAAGGAATAAAATAAAATAATCATGTGGTATGAAAGGCTTTTCAGCTTCACCTAATGGGTTTATTTATTAACTGTTCACTGAATTGCGTAGCACGAGTTCGTCGGAATCCTAACTATATATTAATGTACTTAGTTAACGGAAAGTTTGTTGGGGATAAGGGTGTTTTAAGCATAATGCCAAGAGTTGCTTTTTCAACACCAGAACAAAGCGGTGATTGCTTAAAATTTATTGAGAGCGAAGAACGTGATAATGATAAAGCGTTAAAAGAAAAAGTTTTTTCTCTTAGAAACGATATCGATAGGGAAGCACATGGATGTCCACTTTTTCCTATGGAATGCATCTGTTGGATTTCACGGAGTAATGAAACATTGGTCCTTGTGTAACATTCTACCTACCCTTGAATATATGTGTCTCAAAGGGTCATTTTTGGACCCGTGCCAATCACATGTCATACGATACAAAAATAGTGCGATGATAAACATTTTAGCTACGGTTTTAGATCAAGGTGATCGTACGTAGTTTCCGATCTTGTTAATTATTAGATATACTTGAAATTGTTGTATTAATATGGTACGTCACTAGTTAGAAATTAAAAACGGTAAAACTCGATTTAAAATCAAGTGTGTCAAACTACAACTCTCCACAACATGGGACGTCTAAGTCACATTCCTCGCTATAGGAATTCTTTTTTCCTTAAGACACTTCCGATGGGATTTTAGTAAATCCGTTACTTGGACTTCAGATGTTTACGGTCGTCTATCTGCAGCATGTGATCACGTCGAATCATTGAACGTTCATACAGTTGTCATCAAATCCTACGGGAAACAGAAGCTTGTTCAAATATCCCAGTGTAATTTCGGATTGTTTGGATTTTAAAAACGGATAGTTATTGTACTAGCGATTCCATCTATTCGTGGATAACACGCGGTTGTGAATCTCAGTAATTTTCGCTCTTGCTTCAGCCTAAGTGTGTGACTCATCGGTTAGCTCCGTGGTTTTCTCGTTGAGTCGCCTCCAATCTACCAGTAGTAATGCTATTTAAATAAAATAAGTTCTCTGTGAAGCACACGACTGATGAGGTTATATACAGCACTCGATAGTAGAGCATCTCTATGTTGAATCGCTTCGTGGTCCCAAAGGGGAATGTACTTTTCGCAACAGACATCAAACCACTAGGTCATTGGTCCAAAACTAGCGTCACTAAGTGTTTATGTCAGTCATGTATCAATATTTCTGACAATGCATGTGAGTTACATCCCCGTACAGCAGCGTGGAAATGGTTATTTTGCTGGAATACAGGTTGGACAATTAAAAAAGTACACCATGTTCAAACAGTACATTTGATCCTAGTAAGTGATGAGTTGTCGTTTTATTTAGTCACCCTTTTTTATCAGGAACTTATTAAGTACATTTGTAATGTAAATATAAATCTTTGGTCTTAATATCGAACAAATGTAATCACAGTGATAAAGTCACATGTCCTTTATTTGGCTCCAACTAACAACCAAGTATTTTCACTGTATCTACCTTACTTTGACACCTTCATAAGACACATACTTGAACTACAATCGGTTTTCGAAGAAGTGCGGAATGTCTTAAAGCAACTTCATTTATTTAAAAATTCCCTACCTCGCTTGTAACCACCCATTTATGTAAGATGTCATTGTTGTGAAGACTAGGAGTACATTAAACTATTTTAGATTGAAAGAAAAAAATATGTAAGTAATAAAGCTATTTTAAAAATCTCATCTACAGCTTAGTTTACTTTTTAGTCATTGATTTCGGAACTTTGTTGCGGAGATAATGGCAGCAATTTGTCTTCGTGTAGCAGCCAATCCAGAAGTATCTTTTATATTCCTTTTAAATACAGATACAACAAACGAAATATCTAGATAATACGTTTTCAAACTGATTATAGACGAGCAATTAAAATATATATTGATACCATTTGAAGAGGAATTTATAACTAGAGGATGTTTTAGAGTTTAGTAATATGCACTTTAGTTCATATTAAGCTATCTAACTCATCAGTGATCTTACCTTTACTAGAGCCCAGCTCCAAGTTAGATTTTCTGGGATTTTGCTGTGGTCTGTGGAGTAGAATGTTAATCTTAAATTCACAGTAGAAGATGAGAAAATTGATTACTTCTGTCTGAGTATAACCTTTAATGTTTTATCTTGCGTAGTTTGGTTGTATCGTTAGTCATAATAATTTCAAGCCTGGTACATCTAAAAGAAAATCCTTCACGAAGCACCAATCCTTCATTCTTGTATGTATTTATAGTCAAATACATAGAAGCTAATACTCTCGATGAACTGTTTGCTAACGTGCCACATAAATATTCTTGATGTTACGATTTCAGTCGATTTGTGGTACTGCACATTCGTTCAAAATAGGACATGTGAAACAGTTTGCTGCCTATTGATTTAACGCTACAAAAATACTAAACTACCATTCCCATGTTATGATTTTTGAAGTAAAACTGAATTGTAGCGACCCATGAGTTTAAAAATCTATAGTGTAAATTATCTAACAAACTAATGACTTTAGATGAACCACCTTTCTTGATAACGATCCGTTTATCTTACAGGAAGAATCCGAACTCACAAGTACCAACTGTAGAGTATACTTCCAAAGTCTCAAGCTAAGTATTGATATGATATTTGTCCATGATTCAAACTATTACCAGTATTAACTAAGTAGAGCATATGGTTTTGATATTGACGATAAATGAGTAGTCCATGGTTTACAGATACAAAGAGCAGTTTTTATGTGATTCATCCAACAGTCAGTCCAATATAAATTATGTTACTGAGTAATTTCGTCTGTAAATTCTTACTTAGAGTTTTGGAAAGAGCGCCTTGCCATACCATTATTAGAATTAGAAGTCTTCGAACTTTTTGTAAGAGTACGTTTGGTAAACTGTTCAGACTTTACCGACGATGAAGATATTGGTGGTAATAAATGGCTATCTTCTTGGTTTTCATGCAAATTAGGTTGTCTCTGATCTGATTCAGATTTCTTTGAGGAATTACTTAGTTTCATTAACTGATCCCTTGTTTCAGCCAATACAGAGTTTAATTCATCTCTCTCCCAACATTCTTTTTCAACTGTAGCGTAAAGTTGTTTAACCTAGAAAGACGGTGATCAGTTATTAACATTTTACAGATAGTCTAACTGATAAATGTCTAGATAATCAAAATAGCGACAATTGATATAACTCTATTGATGAAAATTTATCCAGCATAGCCGTCAAGCTGAGTAATACACGTTAGTGTCAGAGTATATTTGACTGATGTCGGAAAGACCTAAGCTCTAAACACTGGTTTTTAATGGGATACTCATTCAAGTAACTCCGGCCCGCCCAGCCGGGTTTTATCACGCTACTTTAGTGTGTAACGCAGGTCGTATACACGGATCTGTACTTGTTTGCTAAGAAGGACTGGACTGAGGGCTTGGTAAAAGCCTTCAAACTTCCTTATTTCGGTTTTACACTTCGCAGTGCACTGTTAAACTAAATCATCTTGTTTGCCAGTCCTAATATTATAAATTGTCAATAAAATCAATTGTCGTGGTGGAACGAGACGACATTGGCAAGGTACACTCTAGTTCCAACATACCCTCAGTATCACATTTAGATGTACTAAACCCTATAATTCAAGACGATAACAAAGATCAGATAGGTTCTGAAGAACATATGAGTCTAATATCCTAGCTAACTCCTTAGACAATTAAACGCTGAAAGTAATTCGAATCAAGTGTAAATTTTGGAGGTTATTCTTTGTTTTAATTAAATGAAGATGAAAAAGACATTAGTGAGACTACATGGTCAATGCTGTATGTGTCTTGATTACACTTCATAACAGTCAATTTTGAGTGATATTCAGTGAGACTGTGATTAAATGGTGTAACTGAAACTAGTTGATGAGACTGACTATTCTCATGTGAATTACCAAGTGTCTGCAAACTACGATGTTTTATGTCAAATGTACATAAAAATAAATAATTCTTTGAGTAATATTTCTCTAACAAGGGAAGAATCGGAAACTACACAAAGGACATTTATTTATACTTAAAATAAGATAGTTTATCTTTTGATTTTAGTACTCTTCAGAATCATTCACCCATAACTCGTTCGTTGTTTATAGTGAGGAATCTGAGGATAAACTTCAAGCATTTATAATCACAGTGGTGACCAATAAAATGTTTTCCTAGTCTTTTATCGATCAAGCTACAGTGTGTCCACTGGTTGGTTGTTGAAATTCGCGCGCTCCTTGTTAATATATTAGGTCGGTGGAAAACTTTAGGAGTAGGCTTCGTGCTGCTTTGGACTTGTCAACAGTCGTTGTATGCAGTGCTAATAGAAGTGGTTTTCCCTATAGGATTCAGATCTACACTACCCAGCTTCACCGTTTGAGACGTTACTACTGATATATTTGTGCAGCGACCGACCTAAGTTTAGTCAAGATTTCAATTACATCTTGGTAATGACTGCTATCTAGCGCAAAATCTAGCTTCAGAGATTCCTGCTGACTATGTCCGGAAATCAAATTAGATCCACTTACTAATTTTTCGTTTTAGTTCTTAAATAATATGCGGTACGAAACAACCTTTAGAATAAATTCCTTACTGTGGAAATTCACCTGTGATTATCTTAATTAATAAAAAAAAATACTAAAAACGAGGTTCCTAACTTCTTGTTGATATCTTTGGATTTGATTTTCAAGTTCTCCTCGAACAGACTCCGAATTGTTCACGCTATTAGTCAATTGGTTAATTTCCTCTTTCATCGTTTCCATAATACGACGATGTTCTTCTTGCAAAACAATGTTTTCTCTTTCTTAAAGATTAAAAAAATAAAATGAATTTTGATAAGGGAAAAACACTTGTACTTGTTATTACTATTAGTATTCCAAGTAGCAATAAGAGTAGTTATTTGAAACAAGCAAATATTTGCTGCATAAAGGTAAGCGTTTGAATTGTCAACTAATAAGACCTCACTGTGGACTGGAACTGACCCTACGAATGTTCACTAAAAAGCAAAGCAATCCTTTCCTAATTACAGCATGATTGGTTATACATAACTTGAAACTAGTTAGATTTTTGGATCAGACCAATTTATGGACTACCTTCGAGTGACGCTAAAATGAACTTGAGATGTACACCTACTTACTAGGGCTAAATGAGAGTTATAAACCAATGTGAGGAATTATGATTTACTGTTGATGGTTAAGATTAGGAATTAGATTTAAGGTTCGCATCAGCTAAAATGCCAAAGTCCTAATTAACCAAAAAGATGGATGAGTTTCGCGCCAAAATCCAAGACCTATGCATAAATTATAATCACGCTGCTCTTTTAAACCTGGAATAATCTCAAAATGGCTTTTACTCTGCCTACATCATATAAAAACTATGTTATCATCAATTCTGTATATTCCTTGATATAATCAATCTCAAACACAAAGTAGTTTTGAAAATTTAGGAACATCCAGAAATACTTTTTCTATTGCATTAACAAATGACAGTCTATTAGATGATTACCGGAATTTTAGGTTGCTAATGATTTATATACGTAAATATACCATTACTATTTGTTCAAACTACCTAAAAGAAATTTGTAGCGAATCAATAGAGTCCATTTTAATGTGCAACGGCTAGAGATATTGTTCAGATTGAAATAGGTAGAGTGAAGTTCAAAGTTGTCAACCCCTTGTTTGGCTATGGTTTTCTTATGAATTTAAACACGACTTGATCCGAAACAATCTAAACACTAGAATAATACTGTTCCTCTTCTACTTTAGGCCTTTACAATTATTTAGCACCTGTACGACAAAGTTAGTTCGCAACACTATTGAAAGTTATGTGGAAATCATAGTTTCATAAATAGTAGAAGTTATTATTTACGACTAAATATTATCAAACATGGCTCATTATAGAAACCAATGAGAATCCTGTTGTAGTCTGTATTTATATTCATTATAAAAGTGAAAGGAAGTTCTTTAGCTAAAAGAATTCCTGGTTGTATTTGTTTAGGATTATAATATATTCTCGTTCACTTATTTCTACTCATTTATTTACTTGATAATGCCTCTTCTGCTTTCTCTACTTCTTCATAATCTCATTTTCTTGTTTGTTTGGTGTATACTTATTTTGGTCTTAATTTTTACCTAAATTTATGTGTTTAAATAGACAGTTGTCCACTACAAAATACATATCATCATTGACTGTATTGTGTTGCCTGAGTTCAATAGTTTAATTGAGAAGCTTCTGTTTTATTCTGAACAACATTATCATGCAGAAGAATAATAATGAATGATTTGTAGTTAAACTACCGAGCTCAGACAATATTCTCAATACAACGAAACGCATCCAACTCAGTTATAAATCTTAACACATAATTATTATCAAAACAAGTATAAAGTGATCATCCATAAGAACTCGATCTTTTGTTGAATTGAATATAACTGGCAAAAGGTTGGTCATACTATTGCAAACATGACAATGTATAATTAGGAATTATGTATCTCTGAAAATAACCGTTTTATTGTACCTCATTAAACTGCAAACATTGTTCAAAAAATAAAATAAAACCACTAACCTTTTTGTTTAAGTTCTGACGTCAGTTGTTCAATTTTTCGATTTGTTTGACTTTTAATTTGTTGCAATTCCAGTTCTTTTTTCTCCAATGATAATTTGAATTCTTTCTCTAATGTCAACTCCTATAACAATTCCAAAAAAAAAACAATTCGGTTGGATAATCTTTCTAAAACGTTTGGTTTGGTGCTAAGTGGCTGAAGGAGCTCATCAGAAAATCTTCTTGACATAAATTTCTTGGTAGTTAGAACTTGTCAGCATGGCGTAGACGTAATTTTGTGGAAATGGGTTCTCCCTTGTGGATACAAATTTAAGTCATCTAGTTTCAAACTCTAAAGTTATATGTACCATTGGGTTATTCAAGCTACTGATCGAATTCTACCTATCGATAGATAAAATCAGTGGTTGGATTTAGATCACTCCAATTACTGCTTTTAACTGGGATTGATAATTGAAAATGGTTATTTGTTAACTGCTCTTATTGGGTCTTTTAACCTCATTTGTTTTTTGAAGCTATTTTGGTACATGGTCAGTCATCGTAACTTGATAAACTCCATCTTCTCATTCCATTATTAGAATTATAAATTAAATGAAACACTAGACACCACCCAATGCATCAAACAGCGATTATCTCCCAGATATATTTCCGGTAAAAAATCGTTACCAGTGATATCAACCAAATAGGAAACATGAGAATGACTAAACGATGATGTCAAACATTGGATTGCGTTTTATCACAAGGAACTAGAGAGTGAAAACTAGGAAAATTTCAACCCAATGATCTAAAGAGATTACGAAGTGTAAATATCTAGGTCACTTAGTTATTTGACCCATGTTTATAAATTTGTCAAAGGACTTAATTATTTACTGAGGAACTTCATGTCTAGATAGTTTTATTGCACATGAGCATAATTCGAAAGCAAACATACGATGTTCAGTCGTGCAACCGAATACAACAAACTATTCAGTGGTATAATCGATATTTGATTTGAATTTCTAACCCCTACTATAGACGGTATGAGATGACAAATACAGATCGAAGTTGTTTGTATCTTTGCTGATGTTTCGTTGCCTAAAGTAGTGTCAGGAGTTATTTAAACAAACTAATTGGTCAATACAGTTAACTACATTGACAACTATTCATTAAAGTGAATATCAAAATAAGTTGGTTCCGAAAAATTTAACCTGTATTTGCCAGATAATAAGTAAGTCTCAAAGTTTCTTGTTTGTATTCGAGATTTTAAGTATTATCAGAATGGAGTTTTGCTTCACCTACTTCAAGTCTATAGTTGGATCTTCGAAAAATTAGAAGTAATCAAAGTCAATATTATTAATATGCGTTTAACAAATTTCAACAAACGCCTTGAAATCTATTGCACACACGTCACTTATATTTTTTCTCAAAGGATAACTACTTATGAATTCGCTAAAATATAAATAAAATAGCTATGCTCTACTCGAATTTTATAAGTATCTGTTGGAGTGATCCAGAAAATTTCTTGCATAAGACAAGCAAGGATCAGGAAACACTAAGAAGTGTTTCATCCAATCAGCGTCCGCTTGAAGTTTTAGCCATAAATATCAAAGAAGTGAAACATCAAGTGTATAGGTTCTGATTGGCTGATTGCTATACTGCTACTATGTTTAGTAGCATACCAGAGTCTACGAGCAACCCAAGGACTTTTAAAAATGTTATAAAAACCCTATATTTTCTGTGTTAAAATGAACCCTGGAGTAAAGTACTCCTCGCATATTTTGAGCCTTTTCTTTCGTGTTCAGGTCGCTGTATATTTCTAGCTTGGGGGTTACAGAATAGCTTAGGGAACGAATATAGCGTTCAATTTGCAAGACTTATCAGTATCATCACACTGCTTTTCTCGTACTGGTAAACCTCAAATATAAGGATAAATATTAAGTCAATACTGAATATTAAAATAAAATTATATAAGCAAACATATGCCGAGTCAATGGTCTAAAGGTTAATAATTCGCAGCCAATAACGAAGATCATATATCCGATCAGCTGTTGAAGAGTCTCAAACTGGAATGAAACAGCTTTCCAGTATTTCTTGGTTTCCAACGATAGTCTAACTATGATCAGTTCACGATTTAAGCTAGAGAAACACTACAACTTCTATAAATCTCACTATACTGATAAGTATATTAGCTTACTTTATTATACTGTTGAACATTGAATTCTTTCTCCATTTCCTGGAGTTTAATTTCCAATTGCCGATGTATTTCATTTTGTGAATCTCTTGACGTACAAAATACGAAAAAAAATACAAGGAATAATTATCATTAAAATCTGTAAAAAAGAAAACGTTATTATTTTATAGGAGAAATAACTTTAATTGAATTATAAATAACAAAGACATTGACAAAAATACATATTCATCTGGGTGATTGTGAGATTGAAATTAGAATCAAAAGAGAGTCACAATTGATTCTTAATCATTAGGTTATTTATAGATTTGAATGTGAATAGTTGATTTTCAAAGATTGAATGTTAGCGACTATATCCTCAAACAAAAAACAAACAGAGTGCTTTGATGAAATTATATGGAATCATATTATACAGATAAATGCCCTTGTACGACCTTAAGTGGAGAGAGTCCGCTCTCTCTTTTTCCAAATGCTCTCACATGGCCACGCGTATATAGCCTCTGTCAGGGAAGTCCTACTCACTGCCTTCTCGTGGCGAGGGTGTTGTTTACGGAATTGAGAGGATGAAAAGCGAATATCTGACGCCTTAAACGGGTTGGTGGACATGGAAAGTTCACCTAGAAGAGTTGAAAAAGCCTGATTCCAAACCAATGGTACACATGGGCTCCAGTATCCTGAGGGAATAAATGGTGTATGAATCAGTCGCTGGTCACCGGCTACCATGAGACTACATCTCCTTACGATGCTCCACTGTCTTGTGGATCAGACCTGTAGGTTGAAGGCTCCGAGTGTGGCCCCCTAAGAAAACCACCTGCTTCGGTTTGGGCACCCGGGCAGTATCACAGCTCTCACACAAATCAAATATGTATCTGGTGCTCCCGTGTACCAGTATTTATGTGTTCAAATAAATAACATGAATAAAATAACTGTTTAGAGTTAGATAATTGAAGGTAATTAGCAGAAAGTCTTATACATACCTATTTTGTTGCACTATTTTAAGAGAATAAATATTTCGCTGGGAAATTTAAAATTATCACTTAATAACCCTAAGAAATTGAAATTGAACATTTAAGGCTCTGACTAATTTCTATTTTCAACAAAATGACAGACTTAACCTCTAATTAAAAGTTTCAACTTACAAAGTATTAAGTGTTGAACTGATCATCATATTAATAAACAAAGTAAATAAAAACAGATTTCATGTGGACAAACTTGGTTAATGTAGTGAAATTGAATTTTCCACTAACTGTTTGAAATTCCTGTGAACAGATGTCATTTTGCAAACACTTTCTCTCTAAAATATTACTTGTGTAAATTTGGATAGTTGACAGGTCAGATTCCGTATGTACTGGTCGTGCACTGACCAAATCATAACACTATGGATCACTGTTGAACAAGCAGTTGAATAGAATTCGTCACTATACATCGACTTCCTTGATAATGAGGTGTTTGATAGTGTGGATAAGAGAACCTTATGGAACCGTTTTAGAAACTATGGTGTACCTGAGAAAATCGTCAACATCATATGGAATTCATACGACGGAATAGACTGTAAAGTTGTGAACATAGGACAGTTAACAGATGCATTCTAAGTGAAGACCCGAGTCATATAAGGCTGTTTACTATCTCCCTTTCATTTTCTTCTGGTGGTTGACTGGATTATAAAAACTCTGACATTTGACAGCAAGCTCGGAATACAATGGACAGCTAGACGATAACTAGACGATTCGGACTTCACAGATGACCTGTTCTCTCTATCCCATACACACGATTAAATGCAGATGAAGACAACTAGAGTAGCAACAGCAGACTCTGCGTCAGTAGGCTTCAACATGTACATCCCTAAATACAACACGGAGAACACCATCCCGGTCACAGTTGATTGAGAAACTCTGGAAGAGGTGGAAACTTTCACGTACCTGGTCAGCAGCATCATCGATGAACATAGAGGATCTGATGCAGATGTAAAGGTAAGGATTGGAAGAACAACTGGAATTCAGAGCAACTGTCAAACAATATCGAAGTCACAATCTTCAATAAGAATGTATAGACAGTTCTACTGTATGGAGAAATACTACAACCATCATCAAAAAAGAAAAAAGTATTTATAAACAGTTGTATACGTAAGATACTCAATGTCCGTTGACCGGACGCCATCGGCAACAACCTACTGTGGGAGAGAATAAATCAGCCTCCAGCTGAGGAAATCAGGAAAATTCGTTGGGGGTTGGTAAAATATACATTACGGAAATAATCAAACTGCATCATGAAGCAGGCGCTAACTTGGAATCGTGAAGGGAAATGAAAAAGAGGAAGACCAAGGAACACATTATGTCGGGAAATAGAAGCAGATATGAAAAGGATAAATAGCAACTGGAAAGAATTGCCCAGAACAGGGTTGGATGCAGAGTATTGGTGGGCGACCTATGCCCCTCCACAAGGGGTAAGAGCAGTAAGTAAAAGTTGATGATGTTTTGATCAGAGTTTGGTGGCAGTTTATCACAAGAGAACAATCGAAATATTGTTTAAGTTACACTATGATGACATACAGAAAGTTGAACTTGTCATAACTTTCCTGTGATGAGTATCATCAACGAAGTTCGTTTAATTGTAGAAACAAACCGTAAATACTGAGGAATTATCAGCTAGTAAACTTGAAGTTAAAACAGTTTACATATATCTGCTTTTGAGTTAGTCATAAACGTCTCCGTTTTTTCCAGTTACTGTAAGACTGAAAGTTTATAGCTGATTTCAGCTCCATGCACATATATAAGTGCACACTCTTCAGTACTAAACAAAGGCGAAATGTTGATCTAATTCTTCATGGTGTTTCGTCAGCTGATATTAGTTTTGGGTAAAAGTCAACTTTAAAAAGTGTGATAATTAATTGTAAAAAAAAAATTGAAAATCCTTTTTGAAAAAATAGAGTAACTTACTTGATGGTCTTTAACTCAAATATCTCTTGTTTACTAGTCTCCAATGCTGAATTCAACTGATCATTCATTTCTAGATAAAATTCAAACGTTAAGCATTATTCAAATAATACACACTTAAAATTAGGAGTAAACTATGTGCATGTTCATACACTGTTGTATTAACTCTACCATGCATATAGACAAATAAAATTCACCAGTTGAAATCATGAGTCAATTGAAGCTAGACCACCATGGAAAACCTGGATGGCCATTTCGTCCTATTGTGCGACTCCTCAGCAATGAGCATCCAGGGTCCCGCTTCAGGGGTTTCGAACCCAGAAACTGTCAGACTCGCGAGCGAGCGCTTAACCACTAGATCACTGAGCCGGCCGGCATCCAACGGTGTTAATGTCTAACTTCAACTAATCCACGAAATTGAGCGGCAAATTCACCATTGTCTTCAGTGAGCTGATATCTCACAACAGACCTGGTTGAACTCCACTGGTCACGGCTCCACACTAGAACTCCAGGAGTGTCTCTTGAAGTTAGTCACTAGTGAGCAGATGAGTAATCTGAGAAAGGGTTTTGTGGAGATTTTATAAATTTCACTAGTTGAAATCGTGAGCCGAATGAAGCTAGACCACCATGGAAAACCTGGAAGCATTGGACGGCCGTTTCGTCCTAGTATGGGACTCCTCAGCAGTGCGCGTCCACAGAAGCTAAACAGAAATAGGCTCAATAAGTTCTTTCTAGCAAAATGGTATGCTTTCAAACGCACATCAACCAAAGAACTGCCAAAAACTAGAAAGTCGGTTGGATTATAATTCATGGACGAACCGACCAGGTTTACGAAAACAGGTCTTGCATTTTGGCGCGAAATATATTCATCCATTTGGATATGTAGAGTTCTGGCCTTATAGCTTATACCAGTTCGAGATGGAAACATCAAGTCTAATTCCTAACCTTAACCATCAACTGTAAATCGTAATTCAAATTGCTCACACTGATTTATAACTGTCATTTAGCCCTAGTAATTAGAAATACACCCTTGAGGTCCCTTCAGTTTCTCTCAAATGTCGTCCATTAACTAGTGCTTAAAGAAACTCTCCGTTTCTAAGTGATTTCTCAAAAATTATTTTAAATTGACTTACGGTTATGATGAAGATATTTAACAAACTAAACAAGCTTATTTAACCTTTTAAGCTGTTTATCATGTGTAATCAATTTTTCTAATGCGATTGACTTAATATATTAGATATTCAACCTCCGACCAACGGAGTGTTGGCTCAAACTCCATCACTTACAATCAAGTGTAACTTTACCAAGTTACTGAATTGGTGAGACTATAATTTATGGACGATCTTTGAGCAATGCTAGACTGACCTTGTTAGTGTCCACTTAATAACTAAAACCAAATGTGGATTATAAACCTATGTGAGGAACTATCATTATGATTTACGGTTGATGGTTAGGGTTAGAAATTAAATTTATGGTTTTTATCACGAACTGACATCAGTTATAATGTCAAACTCTATTTAACCAAATGAATGAATGAATTTCGCGCCAAAATCCAAGACCTGTTATCTTATACCTGATTGGTTCGTTCATAAATTATAATCTCGCCACTGAATTATATTATAAATTCATTTTAATATAAATGATTTACTTTTGATACTAGTTAATTCTTCAGAAATATTGGTCATCTTGTTTAGTAAACATTGTTCTCTTTCTTTATAGTTTCTTTCAGTAAGATCATGTTTTTGTAACTGATTATCTAATTGTTCAGCTAAACTGTAATTTAAAATTATATATCATAAATATAATACAATATTAAAACAATTGATAAACGGTAGGCTTGAAAACTATGTAGATCACTCCATGTTACTGTTGGGATATTCAGAAAAATATCCCAAAAACAATTATCCGGTTAGGTCTAATGCTACCCTTGAACGTTAAATGGTGTCATTTTCCTATTGGTCGTTTACCTACTGATCAATATTTATTCCGCGTGTCATTTCCCCATTGGTCAATACTATTTCACGTGTCATTTTTCAGTTGGTCAATATTTATAGTAATCCTAACTGTATAAATATGCATTTGTTTGTAAATCATTATTCTGCTCCTGACCCCATAAACAAATTCTCATCTGCGGTTCGTGTTCTGATATATTGGAGATTGGGTACAGTACTGGGGTCGTACTGGGATATCTGAAGCTGGTCAATCGGTAGAAATTAGAGTAGCCACCCCGCGATTCACAATAGTTACAGTTTAATCTAATAGAATTTTTCTCGTTTGATGATATTGTGGTGTGTACTACTGATGTCAATAGATATAAGTGGTATGTGGCATCAATTGAAATAACTGGCAGCAGAAAGTTAAGAAGATTGAAAAAGAGAGAATGAGAACAATGAAGTTTGAGACGATTGATTGACATTTGCAAGTTTGAGACAACTGACTAATATTTTGCAAATTAACTATTTATTGTATGGTTCTCAGATTTTGCTAAGATGTATTTAAATACGTTCGATTATCCCCAATTGTGTTCTCGTTCATCAGAATATTTCTTTAAAACTGAACGACATAAATGATCAATTTATTATACCAAACAGTACAATTAGCTATTTCGAATAGTCAGATTTTTTACTTTGTTAACATCATTGGACTTTAAGCATATTCAATTAGAAACTAATATTTAGATAATTATTAGATATAAAGTGGTTTGCAAATTTGGTTTCAAATGAATTTGATCCCATTTAACTTTCACCAACTTAAATCTGCTGTAAATCAGCTGACTACTGATATAAAGATGACATGATGATGTACATACCTCTGAAATGTTGTTCACATATGATGAGATCACCAAGTGAAAAAGAATCTGGTGTTAGAAGTATAGTAACATTTGAAAAATGAGTCATTAGATGGAAAACAACGTGACTTTTATTTATTTCATTATTTCAGTGATTGAGGCATAAGCGGAATAGTAAAAAACATCGGTTACTAGATCGATGTTTTGCACATATACATGAAGTCACTAACTGCCGAACTGCGCATTGTAGTTGTTTGCGGGACATAGACCGGATTAAAGCATGCTCAATTCACGAATACTCTAGAATCTTCTCATGTAAAAAACTATAAATATACTGATGTTTTCTCTATTGTGCTTCTGACTTGCTTCTTACTTCCATCTAACCTTGTTATTTGGAATATAATCTCTCTCCTATTCAACCGTGTTCTGATTTGGGGACTTGTCGAGTGAATCGGTGTCCGAGAATACTAAGCAATAGGAATAGCTGGGTCATAACCGCAAGAAAAGAGATTTATAACAGTAGTTGTATGCTTAGACAGTGATTTACTAGTCCTTATCGGTCTTCCACTTTTGGACTGTGAATTTAGACCCAAATTTGTTTAGGATTGATTAAATCTTAAATATGAATAATCTCGGTGCTGAAAAGTAAAAAAATTTCAAGGTAATTTTCGAAGCAGCCACAACTTGGAAGTGTTGTACAGTTTCACCATAGTTTCCCTAAACTGTTAATATATACTTTGTAAAAGCTGAACCAAAGTGGAAAATAAAGAACAAATTGACTCGATATTATCTTCCTTCTTACTACCAAGTAATCAATCCACACGGCACTCCAAGTTTTACTATTCTTGGTTAATGTTACTCATGATTTAGTCATCAATACAAAACATTGTTTTTTGAAAAATGAATATCTTATCCTCGGTTTAAATCTAGTTCTATCACAGAATAGAAATATAACCGGTAACCAAAAAAAAAATCAAAAACCCAATCGGTTTTTTCAAAACACTTACCTTGAAATTTTTTCTTTTAAACTTGTATTTTCATGAGCAAATGATTGATTTTCTTCTTTTAAACCATTTATTCTTTGTCTGTTGAAAAATATTCATGAAGTATAATATATACTACTGAGTAGAATAAATAGTCTATGAAACATCAAAGAATTAGGTAGTTTTCATATAATCAGGTATTGATTTATTCATCTGGTGTTGCTTACTTGCATCTTCCCATTGTCATTTAGGATTACAATTGATCAGCCTCTTGTTAGTATATTTGTATCCTGTGCGAACTGCCTCAATATTGTCTGAAGTCACAAGCTTTTTAAGCAAAGATGGATAGTGGCTAACAGTGGAATCCAGGACGGTACTAGGTTTGAGTCCAGGAGTGAACATCAACTGTGCAATTCAGGTACATCTAGATGACGAGTCTCAAGTAGGACGAAACGCGCGCCCTGGATTCCATTGCTAACCACCATCCATCTTTGCTTATAAAAATATTGATTCAATTTCAAAACAGATTTTGTGCACTAATACAGACCAGTAGTAAATTTAATAGATAGTTTCTATCAGTATTGTGAATACAAAAATATTCAATAAATAATTTAATCAATAATTACTTAGTACACCGAGGCATAATCAATGCTCAACTGATAAATATAAGAAATCAATATGAAAAAAGGTAACATTCATAGATTATTTTAAAATTACTCACTCAAAATTCAATATTAATTGTCTTTTCTCATCATGTAAAGTATCCAAACGTTTAGTTTCTTCACTTAATTTTGTTTTTAATACTGAAATAGTTTAAGAAAAAAAAATAAGAAGAATAACGATTACTGGAAGAAAAAGAAAATTTTCAAAGATTCTAGAGAATGCTTTCATTCTAGTGACAAGCCGTAACCAGTGGAGTTCAACCGGGTCTGTTGTGAGGCAGTCATTCATTGAAAACAATGATGGATGTGTCGCTCAATTTCGTGGATCAGTTGAAGTTAAACATGAACACCGTTGGATGCCGGATAGCTCAGTGGTCTAGAGGTTAAGAGCTCGCGCACGAGACCGACAAGTCCTATGGTTCGAATCTCATGAGTCGGGATCGTGGATGCGCACTGCTGAGGAGTCCAATAATAGAACGAAACGGCTGTCCAGTGCTTCCAGGTTTTCCATGGTGTTCTAGCTTTCACTGACTCATAATTTCAACTATTGAAATTACTATAATATCCACAAAAACCCAATCTGATATTAAATTCTTTAATTAATCATCTTTTGAGATCAGATTAAAACAATACTTGTAGACAGGAAAAATCTTACCAGGATTTATTTGAAAATTCTTCATGACATAGAGTAGTTTTAGAAATAAAAAAAATTAATGAACAATCATCCAATCGTCGATTTTCACAAAAGAAGACTGAACAAATCTTATGAACAGCAGAAATCTTGTAGTTATAACCGTTTTATTGAATTCATGGAAATATTCAATAAAATGTCTCATGTTCAAACGATGTTTAGACTATAGAGTATGAAGATCATCAAGAATTCGTTCAAGTGAATTAATGATTACTTTGTTTATAAGTGTAAAAAAGAGTAATGATCAAATTTGAAAATCCATTTTAGGAACAAGTATAAAGCGGTTTACCAGATGGATGATTACCAATTCTATAACAATCCATTTGATATGTCGATGAGGTATTGAATATCATTAATAGCTGTATGCTTAGTTATTCGATGACTTCATACATAAGACAAGATGGGCATAGCCTTTAAACTGATCCAAATACTGTTTCACTGGTCTAAAAGATGCTTGAAAGTTTGTGAAAATCAGATAAGCAAGTGATAATAACTTCAAAGTTTGTGAAATATATCTCACATTGGTTACTTTCAAAATGGCAAATAATTTTATAATGAATCATGACTTCAGTATCCTAATTCACTGACATTCAACGACGTTAAAGATTTTAGAACAGTATGAGAGTTACATAAAGCTTTTGTCAGAGTAAGGAAAGAACTTGTTAACCAATCTTTACACTGTATTAATGAGAACTAAGATAGGAAAAAAATTCTCAGGAAACTTATTTTAATGACAAATGAGATCTTAGCACATAAGCTTCCGGAATCAATTTTTCTACTGTGCAATTAGTAAATCTAATTGTGAATGTGAAGCTTTCTTTCATTGTTCCAGGTAGATTAGAAAAATTGGTGGTGAACATCAGGACAGTTTCATAGGCATAAATGAATTATATTTTCACAGAGTATATTTTCCTTTAATAGGTTTTTAATCTTCGGAACTTTCTATTGAAATAAACAATGTCTATACCTTCAATCAATTCATCCAAAATAAGGACAGATAAACACAGAAATTTACTTGAAAATAAATTCGGAAATGTCTTATAGCTTCCTAAATCATCTAAAGTTGATGCAATCTAAGAAATGGCTTAGGACTGTTGGGTCGGCTTCCGGAGAACTTCAACGGAGCCTCCAGAGGCCCAAAAAGGGGCCGAAGGGCCCTAGCCAATCAGAATATGATGGAACGTTCGAGAATTCCAGCGTGGCGTGCCACCATTGGTCGGTAGCATAATATGACGTTAACAGATTGGCTGAAATATGTTGATTTAGCAGACGCCAACATCTATAAATACCCTTGATTTTCTGTACTAAAATGAACCTTGGGATAAAGTGTTTTCTCTCATACTTGTGTCTCTCTCTGGAGTTCAAGTCACTGTGTAGTTCTAGTCTGCGGGTTACGAGAATAGCTTAGGAATCGTATATAGCGTTCAACCTACACGACTTATCAGGACCATAATTACTAAAGCGACTAAAACATCAACATGAAGATACAAATGAATATGATTGTATCGTCTAAATGGATTATGAAAAAAGATAAACATATTATACATGTTTTAAGAAATACAATAGTGCTAAAACAATATCAGCTTGTGAAAAAACCATCATTGCACTGAACTACTTTCTATAATCCACCCAATTGAATAACGACAATGGGGATTGGTCTAATTTCATTTATTTTATTTACTTAAACACAAAAATATTTGTATGGGGATTTGTAGAGGTTGTAGTATTTTCGCAGTTGAATTCACGAGTCGATATAAGTGAGACCGAAGGTCCTGGGTCTGAGTCCCATGTGCAGAATTGTGGATGTGCACTGCTGAGGAGTCACGTAAAAAAACACGTTGCTGAACTTCTAAATTAGTAAAATGATGACGCCTCTAGATGTCACCAATCATTCGGAGACAACGATGATCAAACACAGTGAGTTGTCTAACATCCTTAACTCAGAGGTCAGGTTCCACAAGAATGGACAAAACTGTGCTCACTAACGCGTTGTGAACCCAAACTTTTACAGCCAGATTAACGTCACGAAAGCGCCAAAGATGGTCCAAATTGACATAAGCTGCTCTTGCTTTCACTATAAGTGAATTGGTTTCATCTATCATGGAATCGCCAGCACTTACGCAGCTACCCAGATAAAAGAACTTTTCAAATCCTCCTATCTGCTCACTACCCAGGGTGAGTGCAAGTTCAGGGTTCTGCCAGTCTTGTAAAAGTACTTTGTACTTAGAAAGCGCAAAGCATATGTTGTACCAACGGACACTGGTTGTCAAGTGACTAAGCGCGGATTGCATGATATGAGTAATATTCTACAGTAAGAAAATATCATCCACATGCTTAAGGTTGAGAAGCATTTCTCCAGGTAGCAGATCCACAACACCACCACCTACTTTCATCCGAGCTGTTTTAAGAGAGTCATCAATGGCTAAGTTGAATAGGAATGGTGAGATTGGGCAACCCTGACTAACCCACTGGTTAAATGAAACAATAGGGAGAGATGGTTTATGCCCTCACTCTACCCAAAATGTTTGTATATGGGGCCTTCAAGATATTAATAAACATCTCAGATACACTTCTCATCAACAGATAACCTCAGACTATAACTGTTCAACAAATAAAAGGATGACCGAGCATCAAAATTATGAAACCACATAGTAATATAGATCAAAATCTGAAGTCTTACAGTGAGAATACGGTTGTGAATGAAGCATTCGCTCTTCATTTCTTCTGGGATGTTGAGTCTAAAAATTATAGTGTACATTTAATGCCGTGCAATCATTATTTTTTCCCCAATTCATATTATCTATGCCCAATATTTTTTAGTACCACTGACACTGTCACTACTTAAACTTCTGGAATTCACCTTGAAGGTTTCGAATCGCTGAATTCATATGATGGGCCAACTTTAACAAATGGACATATGTCGCAGTTTCTACGTTTATAATTAATATTCAGAAATGAAGAAAGATGAGTTGAAAATACCCTCTGTAGTTGTCTAGCAGAATTGAGAGCACTCTGAATAAATGTTATTACATACACATATACAAATTTCAGGTGAACCACGAATAGAGAAAGCCAAATAAGCAGTTTCGTTCATAAGTTTTAATCGATCTAAAATTCATTGCGGAATATATACTTTCACTTTCCCAACCATTTTTGAGAGTAAATCAATCAATAACGAGTAGGATCACCAATGAAATACATGATCAAATATCTAATAATGATCCTTAACTAAATTTTCGTAAATTAATATTCAAGCTAATGAACCCAATAATAATAAATATTTTCAGAAAGAGGTTTTTGTGGAGATTGTAGTAATTTAATCATCGAGTTCATGAGTCAATGAAAGTTAGACCGTCATGGAATACCTGGAAGCACTGGACGGTTATTTCATCCCAGCACGAGACTCTTCGGCAGGGCACATTCACGATCCCGCTCTTGGGATTAAAACCTACAACCTACGGTCTGGTGAGCTAGCGCTTAACCTCTAGACCACTGAGCCAACCGGCATCCAACGGTGTTATTATCTAACTTCAACTAATCCACGAAATTCCGCCACCGTCTACCATTGTCTTCATTGAGTTACTATCTCACAACAGAAGCAGTCGAACTCCACTGGTCACAGCTTCTTACTAAAACTCCAGTCACTAGTGAGCACGTGATGATTATTATCAGAAAGGGGTTTTTGTGGAGATTGTAGTAATTTAATCATTGAGTTCATGATTCAATTAAAGCTGCTAAAGAGTCCCATAGTCGGACGAAATGGCCATTCAATGCTTCCAGGTTTTCCGTGGTGGTCTAGCTTTAATTGGCTCATAAACTCAACTGTTAAATAAAAATATTTTTTAATCATATCGGAAAAACGAGATGTGAAACGCTTAGAAATGTATAGCATTTAACATTAATTCAGCATTTAATAACACGTTTGCTGTAAGATTTTGATAATACAATGTACATTTCAAGCTTATGGTGATATCTATGCATTAAATATAGAATTGAAATAGTAAAATCCCTAAACATTCACTCCATAAATATCACTCATTGATCTACAGCAAGAAGAGATAATAAAATTAATATATTCTGAGAATAATAACTACAGAATTCATTTCAGTTCACAGGCATGATTAGCTTGATTTAGATAGGACTATTAAATGTTGGGGACATATGCGGTATTAGATTGTTTGATATGTTTTGGTTTAAAAATTGTTTAGATAGTAGATTTTTCGAGTTTATTACAGTAATGAAAGGTTCTGTTGGTGTAGGATGAGACTACAGAAGTTGCAAAGATTAAAACACCAAATCAGATGGCCAACTGGTACTGATGAGCTCTTCATAAACTCAGTGTAATTAACTTAACTATCATACCAATTCTAATCAGACTTTAATGAGTACTTTTGTTATAACTAGATTTCAAGTAAATGACATCGATCGTTAACTTTGTTATTAGCATTAGATACTCGATCATGACACTTACGTGATCAACATAGTCATTCAATTATTCTACCGAGTAATTGACGCTTACGTTAAAAAAGAACAATTACAAAGAAGTCAATAAGTGAAATCAAAATCAAATATACCTTACAATATACGTTAGTGTAAGTAAATATCCCTATCAATAATCACTACCCAACCACAGACCTGTTTTAATGAAAATCTTTTTTAAAAAAATATTACCTAATATATCACCCAATTGTTCCCCTTGTTTTTCTGACCAATTATTACGTTCTTCTTTATACTTTAACTCTAATTCATTGAACTTATTAATCGCTGAATCTTTTTCCAAGGTGACTAAGTCAAGTTTATTAGTTATCTCGTTATATTGATTATTCAATTGTGTAAGCGAAGTATTATCTAAAATAGATATGTATTATTAGTATAATAAACATTCAAACAGAATTAATTTAATTTGTTTATTCCAATTTTTCCCCCCATAAATTTATCACTTCAAGTCACTCGTGTTCGTTAAGATCACTTGTACCATTTGGTGCGATTTTCAATATTTGAATATTTGAATTCGGATACGAGAACATGTCCCAGTTTGATTCTACAAGGGTGAGAGGAAAGCAGTTAGAAGATCTATACTTAAATACCTAATCAACTGTAATCATTCTACGGATCCACAGTTTCATTTTACGGTTGTTTATATGATTCGTTCAAATCTACCTAGATTTCTTCGTATCCAACTCCTAAAGATAGCCGAAGCTTTTACCATCCATGAGCTCAAACCAGAACTATGCGTACAAAATTGTCTTATCTTTATCGTTACCTTGGCCTTTATTATAATAATAATAATTATTATTACTGCATTCCCCTCTACTTATGTCTTATATTCTCATCATTTTACTCATAAATACTCATTGTATCACCTTATTTGTTTTTACACCTCTATGACCTTTAATTATTAGAACAAAAACATTTTATCAGAAGGGGTTTTGTGGAGATTTTAGTAATTTCAATAGTTGAAATCATGAGTCAATTGAAGCTAGACCACTATGGAAAACCTGGAAGCACTGGACGGCCGTTTCGTCCTACTATTTTGAATCATCTTATTACATTCACTAAATCTATTGTTATTATTCGTATTACGTAATCTAGTATTATAATCTTTCCATTACGCCCCCCAAATGCCCTGGTACGGCCGAGAGTGGGGAAAGTCCTCTCTCTCTCTTTCCAAATGCTCTCACATGGCCTCGCGTATACAGCCTCTGTCAGGGAAGTCCTACTCACTGCCTTCTCGTGGCGCGGGTTTTGTCTACGAAAATGAGCGGACGAGAGCGAATGTCCGGCGCTTTAACCGGATCCCAAACCAAGGTGCACATGAGCTCCAGTATCCTGAGGGAACAAATGGCGTATGAATCAATCGTTGGTCACCGGCTACCATGGGACTGCATCTCCTCACGATGCTCCACTGTCTTGTGGATCAGACCTTTAGGTCAAGGGCTCGGGGTGTGGCCCCATTAGAAAACAACCTGCTTCAGTCTGGGCACCCGGGCAGTATCACAGCCCGCACACAAATATAATGATAATAAAATTATGATGGTGAAAAGAGCAAGAACGAAAATTCTAGCAAAATAACATTAATTCATTTTATTTCGTAGGTTCTCGTCAGCTACTTACAATCTATAGTATTTAAAAAGATAATAATTACATAATGGGTTTATATTGCTTACATGAGAGGGTTTATATTGAAGAAATATTCGTAAAGTATGACATGGGTGTAAATGAAATTAATAGTTTTTGATTGAGATCATGAATCGATTGATGTAAGACCACCACAATTGAAAACCTGGGAGCACTGGACGGCCGTTTCGTCCTATTGTGGAACTCCTCAGCAGCGCGCATCCACGATCCCCCTCGCGGGATCCGAACCCAGGGCCTTCGGTCTTGCGCGCGAACTCTTAACCAACTAGACCACTGAGCCGGCATCCAATGGTGATAGTTTCTAACATCAACCAATCCACAAAATTGCGCGACCAACTTCCGTTGTACTGAGGTAGATACCTGTCTCTACCCGACAAGGATTAGCTCCACTGGTCACAGCTTCTCACTAGAACTCCGAGAATTCCATCACGAAGCTAGTCACTAATGAGCACATGTTGAAATTAATAGGCTGAATATTGTAAATATATACCTAATGTGAAAGAATATTCTAGAGCATTAATTGTGACAACAGTTCAAAAGGGTAGAAACAATTGATTACATAATGAATAAACATTGATAGGAACATAGTGAGTAGAGTTCAGTTGAAAGACTATTAATTTTTAAAGATAGTTGAAAAAATAAAATCAATGACGTAATAAATATAAAAGATAAAAATTTAAAAAGAAATTTTAAGCTGCAGCGGAAGAATATTTGTCACCAAGGCAGGGAAAGATTAACAATCATCTCCTTCTGAACACATAAATCAGGTTTTTGGCGCCTGATAGCAACTGCTTCAGCAAACTTCAGAAGACTGGAGTTTGGCTGCTTACTAATAACCTTGAATGATTGTAGGGTGTCAACCTGATGGCCTGTGTCAAGAGATGTTTAGTGATTGCGCTACTTAGAGTCTTTCTTTCTCTTGTTCTGAGGTTTTTTGGAACATGTTCAAAAAATCTGAGATATGCCCTCCTTTCTGTTCGGCCAATGTAGCTGCTTTGGCAGGTACATGTAAATTTATAAATACAATTGGCGGTAACATGAAAAGGATGCTTATCAACCTTTGATTGAGTTAATGAACATGTTGTTTTATAAAGAATTTGAAGTTTGGCCGCCGGATAGGTTCTGGCTAGCGCAGTATTCAGTCTCCTGTTGATTGTGTTAGCAACATCGTCACCTTTGAAGTTAAGACTTATAGTTATTGGTTTTTTATTGACAGTAATTACTTCAGTATTATTTTCTTTACGCTTTTTATATTTTTCAATAAACTTTTGTGGGTAATAGTTGTCTCGTAGGCATTTTTGTACGTTCATCAATTCTTCTTCCAGCTTATCAGTGGTACAAATCTTTTCTGCCCTATAAAATAGTGTTTTAACTAGTGCCTTCTTGTAGCTGAGTGGACAAAACTATTGAAATTCAGGTAAAGGCCATTCCAAGTACTTTTTCGATAAAGCGAACGTTGGACTGTCCCGTCTCTCCTACGTTTTATAGCAACATCAAGAAAGTGGAACATGTCATTCTGTTCGTGTTCCATAGTAAATTGAATGTTAGGATGTGCATTATTGAAGAGTTCTAGCAGGCGGATTGCATGCTGTTTATTGTTGCAGACAATGAACGTGTCATCAACATATCTGGAATATTCCGTCGTTTCGCTAATCGCCTGATTAAGCACCATGTTTTCAAGATATCCCATAAAAATATCTGCCAGAATTGGACCTAGTGGGCTTCCCATTGCTACGCCGTCGATTTGACGATATATGGTGTTATTAAACTGGAATTGGACGTCTGTTGTGCACATTAATAGTAGTTTTTTGAATTCTGGGGCTGGTAAAGGTAGGAGATCATAATTCTGACAAATTATGTCAATAGTTTCAAAAAGTGGTATATTGGTGAACAAGGATGTGACATCAAAAGAAACCATGAACTTATCGGCAACATTCATACGATTTAGTCTATCAGCAAACTGGAATGAATCTTTTAACGTATATGTTGCTAATCTCCGACGAATCGGCTCTAGTTTTACTGCTAACCACCGTGCAACTTTATGATACGGTGAGTTGATCATTGATAGGATAGGTCTAAGGGGAACGTCATGTTTGTGAACTTTTGGTAAACCATACATATGTGGTAGGCGTGAACCACGTGGTCTTAGATCATTGTAAGTAGAATTATCAATCATTTTCTTTTTAGGAGTTCTCTAAGCATGCCTGTGACTCGTTTTTCTGTTGAATCAGTCAAATCTTTTTTGGATTTATCTATCTTGAACCTCAGTTGATCGTCGAGGATTGACTTCATCTTAGTGATATAATCAGCTGTATTCATTAGGACGACACCTGAACCTTTATCTGGTCGTAAAACCATCACCTCATTATTTTGTTTGATGTTTCTGAGGGCTATTAGATGTTCTTTGGATAGAATATTCGACTTTGGTGTCGATGACACAAAGTATTGGTTGGCAATATCAACTAACTTTGATTTAAACCATCCTTTCTTTTCCTCATTCATTGGCTGCAAATCTTTTAACTGGTCAAACAGATTTTCGAATTGAGCTTCTGTATCAATCCTGTCAGTATTTGTTTTTGGTATATGAAATTTGAGTCCCAGTGATAAGGCTTGTGTTTCTATACTATTAAGCTTCGTATTTGATAAGTTATAGATAAACTTCGAAGGGTTTTCTGGAAACCCTAAACATAGTTGTTCTCTTATCAAAGTTTTCGATAGAGATTTATGGAAATCCTTGCAAATCTTGATTTGAAGATCATGAATAAAGTTCATGAATTTTATTCGACATACAATGTTTAGATCATTAACAGCTTTAACAAAAGCACCGGCCTCAGTCCTTAGTCGTGTAATGAGTAATTTTGTCGATTCAATATGAGATTTGGTAATGCGTCTCAGGTTTTTAAGCGATGGTGGAAGTTTACATGAACGTAAAGATTTTACAAACTGACGTGGGAAACAGCTCGACGTGAGACATTCTCCATAAAACTTAACCCTTGTCACTTCTCTTGATATTCTGCAACGTACTGTCACAAGGTGATTCAGTGAATTAAATAACTGATCAGGGAGGCGTTTTTTGAGAAATTTCATACACATAGTTCCCTTTATCATTCTGAAAAGAGCAAGAACGAAAATTCTAGCAGAATAACATGAATTCATTTTATTTCGTAGGTTCTCGTCAGCTGCTTACAACCTATAGTATTTAAATGGTTGGTATTTACTGAAAACTCTATTCTCGCTTCGATCTTTGTGTGGCGCATACATATTTGGTGCCCTCTTATACCAATATTTATGTGTTCAAATATATAAATAATAAATAAATAATTACGTCATCTTAGTTATTCGTGATCACATTTCCTCAAAGAATTAGTGAAAAAAAAACATTTTCATATATATACGGTTGTACAGTTTGATAATGAATTTGTTGAGAAGAGATCCCTTCGTGTTTTTATTATTTGAATAATAAACAAGACTGAAAGAAAGTTCGTAATGGAGCAATTATATTTAAATGTAACCCCATACATAGTGATGTATATCACAACAGGGAATGATGAAAAATCATTGGTTGCTTAGTCTTTTTCCCCGAATGACTGTTCATTTATTATTTAAAAAATCACTCATAAAATTAATAGTTTTGTTAAACACTGTTTAGATAAATAATTACTTTTGTTTACTAAAATTTATATACATGTACCAGTATTGTGGTTGTTTAGTTCATAGTGTGAATTGAACTCTGTCCATTGGGGTGTCGAATTGAATAATAAGTAAAAAGTAATTTACCATCATATTCACTAATGTTTGGATACAAGTCATAAGCTTGAAGGAAGCCTTAGATATATGTTTTGTACGTATTACCACTTACTAACAAGGCGTAGATGCAATCTTGATGGAAGTGACGCTCTCTGTAGCACCCCAACACACAATCTAACATAATACCAATCAAATTTCTGGGTTGTTGTATGCATTCAAACTTTCTAACTCCTGGGGACTGTTTTGACTACGACGTTTAACGGAAATTGCTGGAATATGGGTTAAACTCTTTAGTTTATCGTTCAAAATCAAAGTTATTAGATCGTAAATCTTTTACTTTGTAAGAGATAGGCAACACAAAAGATTGACGACTTACATAACTGATTCAGTGTAGATATATGATCTCTTAAACTGTTGATTCTATCAAATATTGGACGAAGTAGACTGTCAGTGCGTAGTTTCTCTTTTAATTTATTTCGTACTCTCTTTGAATAATCAAACAGCTCGATCAGTTGTTCTTGAGTATATGAAACCTCAGCTCTATATTTAAAAAAATGCTTTCGATATAAAAACTCTATCTGATAGTAGATCATCCGAAAAAATAGATTATCAAATTAAACAGTTTAAACCTCAATATCAAATCATAGTCAGAGTGGATCTTGACACACATATGCATCGGCCCAAGTTGTTATAATACAGATAACACAAAGATATAAGTTTAGGAAAGATCAATAGCAAGTGAACCAAAATCATATAACAACAGTAGTAATGAGCAAGACTAAACATAGAGAATATGATTTGGAAAGGTAGGATGAAAAGGTATACGTGAAAGAACTGCCGGAAATCGAGTAAATATTCACAGTTCAGTTTATTAGTATACTAACAATCGGTAATTCTATATTTTTGAAGGATTGGTTCACAATGTCATATTTGTATTTTTTGACAACATACAACCTTTGATAATAAAACACCAACAAAAGGAAGGGAAATTAATCGACAAAACCGAAATGACATCAACGATAATGAAGAGATAAAAGATATAATAAATCCAGAAATAAAAGATTTAGGATATAACATTTTTTTGGAGAATTAAAGTGATATAAAATAGGAAAGAGTTAGTGACTTGTCAACCGATTTGGAACAATATCAATTAAATTTGGATAACTAAGTTTGGAATGGAATTTCTGAGGTAGCCATCTAAGTTCAAAGTGTGAAAGGGCACAACAAATGCATGAGATAATGATCGCACAATTTTACAAACATCAATTCAGTTTTGCAACCAAATATCACGTTCCAGAGATTTCGTTAATAATTAATTACTTCATAGTAATTTAAAAATGAATAACGACAAATTTATGTATAATAATTATCATGGGAATGTATGGCGTTTATCCTGCTATGCTTATGAAAACCAAACAAACAATATAGTTTTAATTACCTTCTATTACAAGTTTCATTTTAGAAACATTTCGAGTAAATGAATTTATTATCTCTAGAAATATGCTCAGTCGATCGTAATATATCAGTCAATATTCGATCAGTACAAAACACCTTTGCTGAAGAGGAAATTAGGAAATGACGATGGAATTGGATAGGACATACATTACGTAAATCATCAAACTGCGTTATGAGGCAAGCCCTAACTTGGAATCCTGAAGGGAAGCGGAAAAGAAGAAGGCCAAAGAACATATTACGTCGGGAAATAGAAGCAGATATGAAAAAGAATGAATACCGACTGGAAAGAGCTGGAAAAGATTGCCCAGGACAGGGTTGGATGAAGAATGCTGGTGAGTGGCCTATGCTCCTTTACGAGGAGTAACAGGAGTAAATAAGTAGGTAAGTACAAAACGCCTTTAAACAGAGATATTTCGATAAGCTCGGGACTTTTTATCATTTGTCTAAATTTATGCCTTCATACAATATATGTCATCACTTTCAAATAACAAACAGTTAAATTGTTTGATATTACTATAAATCAAACTGACTTACTGACTTCTGGCAAGTTCTTTGATAAATTGTTTTTCAGTAGCTTCGTAACAAATTAATTTTGTATTCGCATCATCTAATTGTTGGATGATTTCAGCTTTTTCATTTAATAGACGTTCAATACTGTAATATTAATAATAGCGATAATAGTAACAGAAACAGGGATTATCAAATGAATTATGTAGAAAAATATTACCAAAAACAGTGTATTCAGTAAAACCAGGTCAAGAAAATTACGAAAACATCAAAATTTAGTTTAAAATAAATAAACCATTGGGTAGGAAGTTAACAATAAATATATTTTAGGATATCTCAATGAGTAGAAAATTATATTTTGAACGTTTGATGACTTCTTCAGAAGTGGCTTACATTAAGTTATGAAATGTCAAAAATACAGTTTTCTTCTCATTGAAACATCACAAAATATGTTTACTATCAAAATTCAGATAAATATCGAAGTATCAGTATAGGGGTTCTCGAGATTATTAAGTTTTTTTAGTTGAGATCATGAACCAACTGATGTTAGACCACCATTGAAAATCTGGAAGCATTGGACGGCCGTTTCGTCTATTGCGGGTCTCCTCAGAAGCGCGCATCCGCGATCTCGCTCGTGGGATTCGAACCCAGAGACTCAACCAATCCACGAGAAAGGTATCTACCTCAGTGCAGTGGAAGATGGTTGCGCAATTTCGTGGATTAGTTGAAGTTAAACATGAACACCATTGGATACCGACTCAGTAGTCCATTAGGTTAAGCGTTCGCGCGCGAGACTGAAGACCCTGGGTTCGAATCCCGAGAGCGGGATCGTGGATACGCACTGCTGAGGAGTCCCAAAATAAGACGAAACGGCCTTCTAGTGCTTCCAGGTTTAATGGTGATCTAACAACAATTGATTCATGATCTTATTTTTTAAAAGTATCCAAGTACTTGACTCCAAATATTGACTGGACGTATATTTCATGCTTCAATATTACTAATCTGATGAAAGAAATTCCATTCATCTAAATGGCATCATGATGAACATTTATAAAATTATAACTGTTGGATTTTTATGATATAGCCGTTATTCATCTATGTTGTTAATATGTCATCAGGTAGTCCGCGTTGACGTGATTCTGTTAAAACCATAGTAACTTAATGTCTTATTCAGTAAAATGTTGGTTCAAGTTATCATATTTAATATAAATTACTAATTTAACACTATTAAATAAAACAGGATCGATAAAAAAACACTTGAGACAAAGGAAAAAAAGGACGATAAGCAAATAAAAATACTAATTTCTTAGCATATTTAACTCATAAAACTGAATAATCGGTGAATATATTTCATCTTGTTTTTTTTCACGGAATGAACGCCATCATCTCACATTAGTTGTACCAACAGTAAATGAATAAATCGATTCGTTTCAAATCTTAGATTTGTTAACCTTTAGCTCGCATCGCTTCAATTTTACGTCAAAAAACATGATATCTTAACAAAAATGATTACAAATAACGGGAAACATAGGAGAAAACAACTATAGTCAACTATACTTCACAGTTTTATCTGGTTATTTATGAAAGTGATTTAACATTCTTACTACAGAATACTGAATAAGTAGTGTTTGGCGTCATATAATTTCACTATTTGGTGAGTTGATTAGTCCTTAAATTGCTTTCGCACACTTGAGTTTACATTTACACTTGGACCTTGGGAAACAACTTATATTCTCTTTATCCATCCTTGTCAACTCATCTATCTATATATGATGATAATAAACTTATTTAACCATTTCAAACTGACATACCAAAATCTTTTGACCAGATCCAGCATTATTCATCCATTATTTGATTAGTGCTGCTTGGTGATTCCTAGATTACACCGCGTTTAACAAAGATTTATTTTAGTGCCTAACTACTTATTAAAACATTTTTCAAATTCAAAGAGGAACTTTTATGAATTCACAAATTTTTTTATAGTTACACATTCTTTTATTCTAGTTGAATTTCAGATCTCTTCGTTATTGATGGACAATCATTTCACAGTTTTACTATTATGAGAAATTTACCACCAGAAAAAGGACAAAGTAGTATTATGTATTTAAGAGCTTGAAAATGCGTTTATCTATATGTTTTTACCTCATTATGGTTGATGTTTCTATAAAATCAATTACATTGCTTATTTATGTCTCTGAGCTTATAAACACTTTTCAATCATATTATGGACGTTTTGGGATTTATTCACAACTGAAATGATAGACATGATCACATAAAACCTCTTACAAAACTATAACGTTATTAATTATTAACCAACACGCTTCCCATCAACAAAGACTACATTTTCATAGAACTATTCAACTTTTCAGAAGAATGTTTTTTGAAGTAATACTCGTATTTTTATCTGCCATAAACGTTTTGGATTGTGTAGTATCCTATATTCTGGTTGTGTAGTGGAAGGTAATAATCTAGAGTAAATGACCTTATACGTATCAGATAACGATACTGATCTTACTAACTTTAACGGATTCAACTATTGCGCATGGATAATCAAGCATATCAGCCGCTTTTCATCACACCTATATAATTCTCTTTTCCTTCCTTTTAATGGTCATCTTAATAGATTTATGTATATCCACAATTCTGTAAGATCAAAGAAAATCATTTTACTAGATATTTTCCAAGTTATTAACCATGGAATCAAAGTGATTCTTTTAAATACAACGTTTACAATTGATTAGTATCACTAACGTCCAGTTTAATTAAATCAATTCAGTTTTGGTTTCTTAACAAATAATAATAAAACTTTTAGCGCTAAAAAGATCCCCAAACTAAATAGCTCTGTAAGTCTTCGACATTGGATGCTGACCACATTAGTTTTAATCGACTCACCTAGCTGAAGACATTCGGTCATGCATCCGCATCAGATCACGAGTGGTAACGTCGTGCTCAACATCCTCTTCGGTCGCTAGTTAGTTTAGATCAGTCTATCCTCGATATATTGATAGCCTATCAAATATATCTTCGGACCTACTAGCTTCTGTCTTTTGATTTCACTTGGTGGGTACGATTCCTAGTAGAAGGCGTTACTGGTTAAAGCGTTGTCAAACTCCGAATACCTGTGGCATCTTCAAGCTGATCGAGTACAAACTTCCTCATTAAATCTGCAAAGAAACTGAGGTCTGATTAGGTTTCTGAGCAGTTATTTAATTTGCTAGATTGAAAACCAGCAGAACCATACAAAAATGTATAAACGTCAAGTGCACTTGAATATGTTTGAAGATCAACGTGTAGTCTGTAGAAAAAACTCTAAAACATTCAACTTTGGGTAGGAAGTGACTAAATTAGTGTGAATTTTGAGTGAAGCTATCTGAAAATTTGTGTAAAATTTACAAAGATAAAGCAAAAGAACTCATAATGTATAATGGTCTTTGTAGTTTGTTCAAAATTTCGGTGGGACTATAATTTACGAATGACTTTTGAGAGAGGCCTAAGTGAAATCGAAAATTTTCGCATGCTTACTAGAATCAAAGGAGAGTTTAAAATTGATGTGATGAATTAGTATTAAGATTTAGAGTTAGACATTATGTCTAGAAATAAGAGTAAACTTTTTACCATGAACTGTCACCATTCATAATCTAGAAATGCTATTTAACCACACAGATGAGTGATTTTTGCGCCAAAATTTAAGACTTACTGGATAAAATCCATTCGGTTCGTCCACAAATTCCAGTCTTGCTAAAAATATCTCTATCTACAAATACTAGCAGAAATTATTCATAATTCAACCACCAAACATTAGAACGATCGCAATTCAACTACTGTCAGAAAGTCAAAGTAACAATGTAAAATAACTTTACAGTTCATATAAAATAGGTCTTAAAATCCAAATTTGGTAACAGTTTAACTCACTCTTCAGATACTTGTCGTTCACCATTTGATGGCAAGCCAACATTGCCCCCAGGAGTCGATGAATGGGAGCCTTGTCTGTGTCTGACAAGTTCCAATTCTTTTCTCAAATTTTCGGATTTATCTTCAAGAAACTTTATTTCGTTCAGTATAAGATAACTGACACCACAATATGCACAAAATGTCTCTTCGGTACGAACATCTAGCAGCTCTTTGGGTATAGGGTATTTTGGTCTATATGTTCTCAGGTCTTTTATCAATTCAGAAGAGTGGTACTGAGAGTCTTTTGTAGAAATTGCCATAACTACATGATGACGCTTCGTTCGAAATTGTCACCCTTTTCAGGGTCAATGTTCACTTCACAATGACCAACACTGCAGACAAACCTTGTATTTTTACGGAATGAAAGTTGTGAAAAGATTGGCTATTTTGGGAATAGATCATGATCTATTAATATCTCCAGATATAAACAGAACTTGCTTTGAAATAATATATCACCATTTGTTGTTTGAGATTTTTCTGTGGGTTGCAAGTCGGGCATCGTGGTTACCAACAGATATGAATCGCCTTCTTTTTTCCTAAAGAATCTGAAAAATATGGAAACACATCGCATTGTTCCACTTAATTTGTGTAACTATCTTTAGTGATTATAAATATTCCTAACGTCGTTGCCTAAATTTCCTAGTACATTTCGATTTAGATGGATTTTCGCTCATCATGTACGCAAGCTACTTATTGCACTTTGGGTTCCTCGTAATATATTCTTTCATTTTTCTAGCTTCTAACCCACCTACTAATATAAAATTACAGTTGTCATTTGGAACATTTTTTTACACTAATATTTATTCAATTGTCAGCATAGACAGATACACCTTTTGCACGGATTATCTTTCAAACATTAACTATGCTTAATCATGGATCATTGTAAACACTCAGTAAGAAGATACTCGCAAAAGACGAGTCGTGTAACTGTTCTTAGTCTGTCTACAAATACCTTTTCACAGAAATCTGCATATATTTTGTATTATTGACTTCGAGTCTATCATAATTTTTTTGATAGATCTACCTTTTTTTCTTTGCTAATATAAGTTGAAAGGTTTTTTTATGGCTATAAAATTGCAGATTTTTAATTTTTAGTACATATGCATGCATTTTGTTTTTAGTATCAGCCTTTTGTCGAATGCTTCCGTTAGCTTAGGATATTTAACACAGTTCAAGAAGACTCTCCCCTAACCCACATCCATGTAACGACCGGACATTAATTGCGGTAAACGGGATTCCAGGGTTCACGCTGGGTAATTGGGTGCTTACTAACTCGGCAATATGTCTTCTCAGGTTAAAAAACATTTCCTCGTATTCAGCATATCTTCTCAAACTATATGTTACGACCACAAAGTTGGTTCACTTGTTACAGAGCTGTTGAGATCATGAACCTTGTTGGATTTAGGTCTAGATCACTATCGATATATTTATCCATACTACTAGAATAATAGGCCTAATATAGTGCTGCGAACTTCTCGTGATATGAAAACCTATCTAGAAGATCTTACTCAGAAGTCACATCATTGTCTATACTGACTCTTTCTATCACTGTAGTCAATAGCACACTATTTATGAACCTTTGAAGAACACATTTTGACCAGGGACAAAATAAAATATTTGTAATAAAAAGGAAGAAGTCACAAAGGATGACCACTCTTCCATCTCCGAGACATTCCATCATTTTTAAGTGTCCCTTCTTTCAGATCTTCTGACCTTATCGAAGTGTTCAACTCTCAACGTAGTTCATCTCAGTTATTGTATCCAATGTTTCAAAAACCATATGGTTAGGAACCAATGCCGCTAAGACCTCGTAAACCGAATGTTTAAAGTGAAAGTGCATGACAAACTAAAAATAGCGGTGCTTCAGAGTATTCCGATATCGATTACGAGATCAAAACAGTTATTAGTTGATTGATACCTGAGCGCTAGAGGACCGTAATAAATGAGATGATGGAAAAGATTTGTAACTACTTAGGTATATTAATTAATTAGTGGGGACATTTAAAATGGATGAAGTCTATACGCAAATGTGACTAAAATCTCCACAAAATAATATGTCAAAATATCTGATGTCTGATGTGACCGTCTCTCTTGATGATCTAGCATACATAGATAACAAAATAATAGAGGTATACCACGGTAATAATCAGTTCAACATTACATATGTACCCACAAGTGCAACTAATAATTTAGAGTTGCTCCGGTAATATCTCAGTGACCTCATCCTTTGTTTTGTCTTTTTAGTCTACGATATCCAGTATCCATGTGACACACTGCATTACTTTCCTCATAGGTTGTTCGAAATATTAACTCCGCCTGGAGTCCCTTCGAGGGCTACTGCCGGTCCCATGCTCTGATAAAGGAGGAGGGTTGGGCATGGAGTCAGCGTCCCCATCCCGTAGAAAACTAACTCGCTAAAAAAACGCTAACCAGAAAAAATTATTCAAACCTTTTAAACTCTGCCCTGGGAGTCAGAAGGTCTTCATTTAGAAGAACTATGACGCCTCATGATGAAAGCCGAATTCCTTCGGAAGTTACGAGGCCGATGCCCCTTCTGACAACCAGAGCAACCATTTATTTAGGTACATGGAATGTTCGTACAATGTGGGACACCGGGAGAGCCTTCCAAATTGCTGCAGAAATGAGAAGATACAACCTAGAGGTGCTTGGGATCAGTGAAACACATTGGACGCAAGTTGGACAACAACGACTAACTTCAGGAGAACTCCTGTTATACTCCGGCCATGAAGAAGAAAATGCTCCACATACACAAGGAGTTGCATTGATGCTGTCCAAACAAGCGCAAAATGCACTTATAGGATGGGAATCTCATGGACCAAGGATCATCAAAGCCTCTTTCAAAACAAAGAAAGAGGGCATTTCAATGAACATCATTCAATGCTATGCGCCTACCAACGACTACAATGAAGACGCTAAAGATCAATTCTACAATAGGCTGCAGTCAATCATCGAGAAGTGCCCAACAAAGGACCTGACCATTCTGATGGGAGATTTCAATGCCAAGGTTGGAACGGACAACACTGGATATGAAGACATCATGGGACGACACGGACTGGGAGAAAGGAACGAAAATGGTGAGAGATTTGCAAATCTATGTGCCTTCAATAAACTGGTCATAGGCGGCACCATATTCTCACATAAACGCATACACAAAACCACATGGACTTCACCGGATCACTATACACAAAACCAAATCGACCATATCTGCATCAACAAAACGTTCAGGAGGACGATTGAGGACGTGAGAACCAAGAGAGGAGCTGATATAGCATCAGATCATCACTTGCTGATCGCCAAGATGAAATTGAAACTCAAGAAGCACTGGACAATGGGGCGGACAATATCACAAAAGTTCAATACGGCCTTTCTTCAGGATACTGACAAACTCAACAAATTCAAGATAGTCCTCAGCAATAAGTTCCAGGCCTTTCATGATCTACTCAATGGAGAAGGAACTACTATGGAGAGCAACTGGAAGGGGATCAAAGAGGCAATCACTTCAACATGTCATGAGGTCCTGGGTCACAAGAAGCAACATCACAAGGAATGGATCACTGTTGATACACTGGATAAGATTCAAGAAAGAAGGAACAAGAAAGCAGCAATCAATACCAGTCGAACAAGAGCAGAAAAAGCCAAGGCACAAGCTGAATACACAGAAGTAAACAAACAAGTGAAGAGGAGCATCAGAACCGACAAACGTAAATATGTGGAAGATTTAGCAACGACGGCGGAAAAGGCTGCAAGAGAAGGAAACATGAGACAACTGTATGACACGACAAGGAAACTCTCTGGAAATCGCCGCAAACCAGAACGACCAGTGAAAAGCAAGGAAGGAGAGGTAATCACCAACATTGAAGAGCAACGAAACAGGTGGGTAGAACACTTCAAAGAACTCTTGAATCGACCAGCTCCACTGAATCTACCCAAGATCAAAGCAGCACCCACGGACCTCCCAATCGATGTTGGCCCACCAACAATTGAAGAAATCAGCATGGCCATCAGACAAATCAAGAGTGGCAAAGCAGCAGGACCAGACAACATCCCAGCAGAGGCACTAAAAGCAGACGTAGCGGTAACTGCAAGGATACTCTACATTCTCTTCAATAAGATTTGGGATGAGGAACAAGTACCAACAGACTGGAAAGAAGGACTTCTGATCAAAATACCGAAGAAAGGAGATCTCAGCAACTGTGATAACTACAGGGGCATCACTCATCTCTTAATACCGGCAAACGTCTTTAACAGGGTACTGTTAAACAGGATGAAGGACTGCGTAGTCGTCCAACTTCGTGACCAACAGGATAAATCCTGTACAGACCAAATCGCAACTCTACGGATGATTGTGGAACAATCAATGGAATGGAATTCATCACTCTACATTAACTTAATTGACTACGAAAAGGCATTTGATAATGTGGACAGAACAACACTATGGAAGCTTCTTCGACACTATAGCGTGCCTGGGAAGCTAGACAATATAATACGGGATTCCTATGATGGATTAAACTGCAAAATCGTGCATGGAGGACAGGTCACAAACTCGTTCGAAGTTAAGACCGGTGTCAGGCAAGGTTGCTCACTCTAACTATTTCTCTTTCTCCTCGTGATCGACTGGATCATGAAGACATCAACATCCGAAGGGAAGCATGGGATACAGTGGACATCTAGGATGCAGTTGGACGATCTAGACTTCGCAGATGATCAGGCTCTTCTATCGCAGACGCAACAATGAATGCAGGGGAAGACCATCAGTGTAGCAGAAGCCTCAGCAGCAGTGGGTCTCAATATTCACAAGGGGAAAATCGAAATTCTCCGATGCAACACAGAATGCAACAATTGAATCACACTTGACAGAGAACATTTGGAAGATGTAGAAGCCTTGACATATCTGAGCAGCATAATTGATGAACACGGTGGATCTGATTCAGATGTGAATGCGTCGATTGGAAAAGCAAGAGCAGCACATTTACAATTCAAGAACATCTGGAACTCAAAACAACTGTCTGTCAACCAACCAATACCAAAATCAGAATTTTCAATACAAATGTCAACACAGTTCTACTGAATGTGGCGGAAATCTGGAGAACTACGAAAGCCATCATCCAGAAAATACAGGTGTATATTAACAGTTGTCTACGCAAAGTACTTCGGATCCGTTGGCCGGACACGATGAGCAATAACCTACTATGGGAGAGAACAAACCAGATCCCAGCGGAGGAAGAAATTAGGAAGAAGCGCTGGAAGTGGATAGGACATACATTGAGGAAAGCACTCAACTGCGTCACAAGAC